TCCTCTCCTCTGGTGCTTTTCCCCCTGCGTTGTGTCATTGTGAAAGATTCAATTGGATTGGTCTTACTTAGTAGTTTTCATTGCTGTTGTTGCTATTTGGCGATAGAAAAGGGCAGAATATGTTACATGAGCATTTTTACCAACTTACATTTGCTCTCACCCTCTCGCTCTTTTAAATAATGACATCACCTGTTTCACCTTTCTCTTTGCTCTTCTCTTCACCCCCAGCTTGAGAAGAGAGGGGAGAGGAGGGCAGAAGCTGAGAAGCTGTTGGCTCAAGCCCAGGAAATGGGTACAGTTAATGCTTTTTGCATTTGGTGTTTTTGGTCAATTAGCCGCTGTGTAAACCAGTGTGATCAGTCTGTGTATTTTTAATATAATAAAATGTATTTCCATGGTAGAGATTGTAAAAATGTTGTACTTTTGTTCTGTATTAAAATGTCAGCATTTTTTTTGTCTCAACCCAGGGGAACAAGAGAATATTGACAAATTCAGCAAGCGTCTAGTAAAAGTGACCAAGCAGCATAACGATGACTGCAAGAAGCTGCTGACCCTGATGGGAGTGCCTTACATTGAGGTTAGATCAACCCTCGCTGGCTTTAAGAATATGTCCACATTTATATGCACAGTGATTTTGGTAACAGTTTTGAGGAATCTTAAGTGCTCTTTCTTATATTATTCTCATTATTTCTACAATTGTATGTTTATTGTCAGAATATTCTTTAAAGGCAGTGAAAGACAGAAACTGTAATGTTGAAACTTAAAGCAAATATTGTTCTTAACATTGCTCCATAAGGTATGGGATGTCCTTAGATTACAATTTGCAAAAAGGCATAAAAAGTAGATATTTCTTGTGCTTGGACACAGGAACAATTGCACCCTTAAATAAATCTGGAGAAATAAAGCTGAAGTTAATGTACAGTGAAATGCCTGCTGCTGTAGTCCTGTATGCCAGGCAGTTGAAGTGTTTGTTCACCATGTCAGAGAAAGCCGTTTCAGCAGCACAGGTGGGTGAATAATACTGTGAAATGTAATGTGTTGTTGTATTGTAGGCTCCATGTGAGGCAGAGGCCACCTGTGCTGCTCTGGTTAAAGCAGGAAAGGTCTTCGCCACAGCAACAGAGGATATGGACGGGCTGACCTTTGGGACAAATGTCCTACTCAGACACCTCACAGCCAGTGAAGCAAAGTAATGTTCTACCTGAATCTCATTGTTATGGCATCAGTGATTTCAGCTGTTCGGCTCTGTAGTAGACATGTTCAGCTGTTGACTTGATGAATGTCCCTGTTTTGTTTCTAGCACAACTTTTGATGTAACCTGCAAACTAATCTTATTTCTATACTTAATAATGATATCATCTGACCTGCAATCAATTCTATTTTATTTACTTATCCATTATTGTTATGGGGGTGAAATGAGGAGTCACATTACTTATCACAGTTCACATGTTCTATTTCTTGCAGTGTTGTTGGATTGTCTTACCTGCTCTGAATAATTCAGGAGAAAAACCATACTACAGGCTAACATGCCGTGTCATTAAATTAATGACAATTTATTCCTTCATGTTTAGTTTAGTTTATCACCATCCTCATTAGCTAAAGCCACATCAGCTAGTCTTCCTGGGGTCCATGCACTTGGTCATGCATCACGGATTTTATTTGTTTTAGGAAACTTCCTATCCAAGAGTTCCACTTCAGTCGCATTCTGCAGGACATCGGCCTGACCAACGAACAGGTAAAAATGTTTTCTGACTTTGAGAAAGGTGTAGCACATTATATGATCAAGAGTGCTATTTTCCATCTGATGAAGTTCAAAAACCACATCCTCTGCCTTTAACCATGCACTCTGCAAACCAAATGCTGTGCAAATTCTTCACAGAAGTGTCACACTACTCTCCATGTAACTATGTATTGTGGAACTGTAAACACAGTTGGACCAGGTGCCGTGTGTGAGGGATGTATCAGTCTATTAACTCCTTCTTTTTGTTGTCCATGCTAGTTCATAGACCTGTGTATTCTGCTGGGCTGTGACTACTGCGCCACCATCAAGGGGATTGGCCCCAAGAGAGCCATCGACCTGATCAGACAGCATGGCTGCATTGAGGAGATCCTAGAAAACATTGACCCCAACGTAAGTAGATTTCTGCTACAGTTCAAAAGTACAGGCAGTTAAACAAAGGGAGTTTGGTTCTGATTCGTTGCGTGTGTCTGGCTTGCCTTCATGCAGAAGCACCCTTCCCCAGAGGACTGGCTGTACAAAGAGGCCAGGAGGTTGTTTCTGAAGCCAGAAGTGGTGGATTGTTCCACAGTGGAGTTGAAGTGGAGTGAGCCGGATGAGGATGCACTGATCCAGTTCATGTGTAACGAGAAACAATTCAGGTGAACCATCAGCAGACTCTCTCCAGCACTGTGCTGCATGTCGGGTTCATCTTCTTTGCTTGGTTAATGAGTTTATTTGCACTAATGCTGGACGATGGGGTTCATGACACTGGTTGTTGCAGTTATTCCAGGACCACACCAGCTGGTTATACATCATCTGACCACTAGGCTGCACTGCTGCCCATGTAGATGTAGATGTGGAGTTTATGGTTCTAGCATTTATTTAGCACACAACCTTTTTTACATATATGAGGTATAGTGCTCCTCTTTATAGTGAATGCTTTTGCTCACCAGTCATACACGACTTTACTTTAAGATCTACTTTAATCACACACAGTTTTGTTACTTTTTTGTTACCTAAGTGCTGTTTTGCATGTTTGTTTTTATTGAGACAACGTGACGGAAAGTTCATCTGGAAATAGACACACTGCATAGGATAACAATCAACTTCATTGATCAATGTGCGTCTGTATGTGCAGCGAGGACAGGATGCGTAACGGCTGTAAGAAGATTATGAAGAGCCGACAGGGCAGCACGCAGGGCCGACTGGACTCTTTCTTCACTATCACTGGATCTCTGTCCTCCAAACGGAAGGTACAGTGTGTTTCCAAAATGATTAGAATAGACCTTTTTACACAGCAGCCATTTTGACATGAAACAGTAGGGTAAACACAAGTGTTACCAATGCACTGATTAAGGTTTCGTTCCATTTAGTGTAGCGGAGCCTCTTCAGTGAGCTAACATGCAAACTAGCAGCACCGTGACTCTGACCTGACTGTAACAGAACCTTAATTAGTATCATTGGTAACACCTGTTTATCTTAGTACATGCTGTGAAAAAGGTTTATATTGTACTGATCTTTCATCTTTGTCTAGTCTTGCTGACTGCTTTATTGTACTGCTAATCTATATTATGGGTTTTTACTATCCCTGTTTTCTTTTCTAACTGTAAGTTTCTGTTGTACATGTTCAGTTATGTTTTGAATGTTGGACTCATTTGTTCTATTTATTTCACCTTTATTTAGGAACCCGAGATTAAAGGATCAGCAAAAAAGAAGCAGAAGACTGGAGCCACGCCGGGCAAATTTAAGAAGGGAAAATAGAATGAACACAGAGCTCCTTTGATTCATTTGGGAAGTAAATATTGTAATGGATAACCATTACTGAATAGAGTATTAAAAAAAACTCCAGGTGAGGCAGGAGGAAGCTGTAACACAACAAGGGTGAGGATTAGTTCTGCTGAATAACTGTGTGTATACATGACCAAACATGGTTTTGCTGATGCAAAAACATTGTTTTTGTTTTGGAATAAAAGTCTTTTTGTAGAGAAATTTGTCATTTGCCTTTTCATTTACTCGTTTGAGGTCATCATAATGTGGACAGCCTGCGTTTATAGAGAGAACATAGCCCACAGCATGTTTTCTTTCCACTTAATATCAGAAAGTATTTCCTTTTATATGGCAGACATTACTATAAAGACAAATACAAATACTGTGTTCCTCAAAAGGACTTTGTGTTTTGTTTGGAATTAAAGTGCACATTTGTTTAAAGGTCCAGTGTGTAACATTTAGGAGGCTCTATCAGCAGAAATGGAATATAATATTGGTGTGTTTTTACTGAATATAGAAAGCTGTGTTTTCAAGTTGTTTTTATCTACCAGCGTCTACCATGGATGCCAGCTTGTTGAACCTCCATGTTTCTACAGTAGCACAGAAAGGGCAAATCAAACTGCCTCTAGATAGAGATGCACAACTCTTAATGATAAAGCCAGTGATAAGTGAGGAAGTGGAAGTCACATGGTGAAACTGAGCAATGATAACACGCTTGTTTTGCAATGACCCCGACCACAGGATTTTTCAATACTTTGAGCGGTGAGAAACTTCCATCATGTGCTAATTTTCAGATACTGACTAATTTGTACCTTTTTGACATTTTACAATTTTGATTGTGTGAAACCGATGTTTATTATCACAGCATAAACAAAAGGACCCCTGAAGTTCCATCTGCTTTATTCCCAGCCGGTTTAATCACTGGTCCTGGCCTCTCTTGTACACATTTTACAGTAATATTATTGTAGCACAGTGACTATTAAATCACAATAAAGAGAAATGTGTTATCAAGCATCTGTGGATGACACCAAGATGAGTTTTAAGTCGCTTATAGAAATCAGGTAATAATTTGTAACATTGTTTTACGTAAACTATTAGCACACAGTTTGTCTTTGTCCATCATCCATTAATCTGTTGTAACAAGGTTGATTTCATTATCACGTCTGTGTTACAGGGGCAGGAAACAAGTAGCAATACCATCAGCTGTAAAAAACACTGCTGAGCAACAGCTGAAAGCTTTTATTTTCTAAACTAAACCTCTAATAGAATAAAATCCCAGCAAAAAGAGCTATTGCCTTTACTTGTTTGGGCTTCTATGTGATCTTTTGATCAGTCAACTGCTGGTACATGGCTCTACAGTAGTTTTAAAAAGCCACTTTGTGCCTTTATTTAAATATGTGTTTGTTCCTGTTCCACAGAATTCAGTAGAGTGATTGAGTTAAAGCAATATGAGCCCGAGAGAGAAGAAGAAGAGGTCACTGAAGTTCTTCCTTGTTTCTATGTGTATATTTCATATCAACAGGGTGGTTATGTTAGCCTGCCGCATACATTTCCTGACATTAACTACTACTACTACTACGACTTACTTCATTGTTTCTCCTATTTGCTGTGGGCTTGTTTGGTAAGGCTTCTTACTGTTTCTACAGATTTTATTTCAAATTCTTTTAAGCCGCAGTTATATTAGATTATTTGTCTTATGGTCTGCATTAAAAAAAAGACATTATGAAATATAAATTCTTTCAGGTTTCATTTATTTAACATGTCAAAATATTAGTATATATTACTTAATATTAGTATTAATATTAATATTATATTATATAGTATTACAGGACAGTGGGGAAGTTGCTTTATGAGACCAGTTATGCTTAGCAAATTCCACAAAACTGACACAACTAAGAATACTGATAAGTAACTGCACTGTTGTGTTTGTAAATCCAGGTGATGAGTGTGATTGCAGTCCTGTCTGTGAATATGGTGACAGCCAACATGTTACTGAGTGTCTTCTTTCTTTCAGGTGAGCTGTTTGTTCAGTGCAATCTGTGTTTTCTACCTGAGTTCTTGTGTAACTGTGACAATACTAATGTAATTATCTGGAGATCTTTTAGTGGGTATAAATGGGTCTCGTGGGTGATTAAGGGGAGGTTGTTATCTGCTTGTTGTAAACCAATAAGAATTAACCATTAAAAAACTGTACAGTTACAAAAGATTATGATGCTAATTATTACTGCTGAAGTATATGTATATTTAGGCTTGTTCTTAATTTTTTTTAATATATATATATATATATATATATTATAATTATATATATATATAAAATATATATTATAATTATATATATATATATTTTTTTTTTTTTAATTATTTTTTTTTTATTTCACACATTTTTACAGGTGCTTTGGCTGATTGTCCTAAGACAGCAAACCTCTTCATCACTGCATGGAAGCACTGAGTGGGATCTTGTTGCAAATCCCATGTAACTTTTAAGAGTTGATGCAGAACACAGCAGTTGACAGCTAACAGAGAAACCTTTGGAGTTGTGGATTAAAAATGACAACAGATCTTGGCCTCTATCCAAACATTGTGTTTTCAACCATATTGGGAACATGTTTTTTTAACACGTAATCCAATGA